CCACCCCCAAGCGCACACACTGTATCTAGAACCACCGCTGTAGCTACGCCTGTCTGTATTTTAAAACTACATGTATTTGTATCGGTATTTTCATTTCTTAGTTTTTATTTTTAATTTCTTGAGAAAAAGAAAGCGAGCGTGTCCCTGACTAGTCCAGATGCTGCGATCCATCCTCAGCCAGCCCCATGTCATGGGCATGCTGTGTGCCCGGCCTACTCGGGGGTCTCAGGACGTGGCCCCAGAACCATCCCACGTGGGGCAGCCTCACGGAGCGCTGTGTCCACCGCTGTGCCCTGTGTAGCCCTGGCTGTGTTTATTTCCAGTCTGATACCTCGGGGAGCTCTCTGACCTCTCCATTTGTAAATCCCTCTCAGACAGCGAGAACGCTGGTCCCTTGTCCTCGGGGCAGCCTCCCCTGCCCGCTTGCTGCGTTTGCTCAGCTCCCAGGCACACCGTCTGGCTTCTCCCCTCCGGCCCTTACCACCCACTTTGTAACCTGGCGGGGGCACCTCTGTTGGTGCACCCCTGCCCCCATTTTCTCCAGGAGGGAACGGGGGGTGGGGGGAGGCACTGCTTTTGTTCTCCAAGTGATTTTTAAATACATTTTGCAAGAGGACATGTGCACTGTCAGAAAGAGAGGCAGGAAAGTGAGAAAGTCCCCCCATGAGGGACAGTCACACCGCACTCCTTCTCCTCCAGCTCTCTTTTTCTTTTTTGGGGGGGATTTTTTTTTTTTTTGAGAGGTTTTTGCTATAGGGCGCGTGCGCTCGCCAGACAGACAGAGACAGACATAGAGACAGAAAGCGAGAAATCACCCCCCAGGGGGGGATGGTCACGCCGCAATCCCTTCTCCTCCATTCTCCTCTCGGGATCTTGGGCACGCACGCACACGCACCCGGCGTGAGTTTCAAGCCACCGGGTCCGGGACACGAACCGTGGTCAACTACGTGGGAGTCCAGCGACATAGCCATTACGCTAACTGTCCAGCTCTCTTTTTTGGGGATTTTGGGCACACGTGCCCAGCATATTTCTCAAGCCTCAGGCTCAGGACTCAGGCTGTGCAGTCGGCCATGTGGTCTCCCAGCCACCTTAACACCAGCAGCTGACCCTTTGAGTGAGTTTTGTCTTTGTTTTCCTAAATTTGTATTTTTCAAACTTGAATAAGCTGGTTAAGAAAATGCGGCCTCTCCTACCCTGGACAGTGGCTCTCCCCTTTCCCTGGGTGTCCTGGTGGCTCAGCGTCTGATGTAGATGATGTACAGAGACCATTGAGAAACACCCATGCCCCGTCTAGGGTGGGCCTACCTGGGAGGCAGCACCCCAGATCCTGAGCCCCGCCACATGCCAGAGTCTTGCTGGGCAGTCATGTGGGAGAGGGATGTTTAAGGCAGGGCTTGCTTTCCTTTTTCTCTTCTTCTTCCTTTGCATCTCTTTCCTCTCTCCTTTCTTCCCTTTCTCCTCCCTTCCCTCTCTCCTCCCTGTTTTTTCACATTGTTTTCTTTAAACAGTGTCTAGTTTTTAGTCTCAATGACGTCAGTTTACTGCGGGAAACCTTTCCAGCAATTTTTTTTCAACATGTGAACACC